CTGCCAGGGGTGTTTAGGCGAAGGGGTCTGACCTCGTGGCAGGCTCCCTGGGCACAGTGATTGGACACTGAAAGGCATGAGGGAAGCACTCAACCCAAGGGGTCCGTTACCTAGGAGATGCCATGGCCAACACGTGCATGAACCCCACCAAAGACCGGCATGATGGGGACCCCTCGAGAACACCAGCGTAGACAAGTGACATTCCCAACCCTGAGGCTATCTGCCACCCTGGGACTGACCTGACCACGATGGAGCTTCCCCCAGCCGGGGGTACTGAGTTCACAATGAGATTATGTTGGTTAAATGACAGCCCATCGGTCCTCTGCATTGTGGGCAGGTGGGCTACTCGAAGCAGGGGCAGCAGCCAGCAGCAGGCTGAGAGGGCACAGCAGTGACCTCCCGGTCCTCCCCGCCACCCCCTGACGTCCTGTTGCGTTCTCCATTTTGCAGATGGGGAAACAGGACTCACTCACCCACAGCCACGTGGCAGGCAAGTGCCGGGGTCAGGCTGTGAGCTCAGGTCTGCCTGACTCCTGCCTCAGGGCCCGCTGGCCCACGTGTTCTGTGGGGACTCCTGGGTTATCTGGCTGTGATGGACACCGGGAGAAAATATTCCATGGCGAGCTGAGGGGTGAGCTGGGTGACCTTCTGACTCAAAAGCCTTCACTTTAAACTAGGGGTGTCGAACTCAATCAGAGAAGGGGCCAAAATCTAAAATCCAGCCTAAATTGTGGGCCTAATGGTTTACTGAACAGTCATAAACTGTCATTGTGATGGAAACGCAGCGGAGCGCAGTGATGACAGCGCGGTGCGGGCCACATTGCAAGGCCTGGCGGGACGGATTTGGCCCGCGGGCCTTGTGTTTGACACATTGTGCTTTAAACCCATCCTTTGGCTGAGCCAGAGTTGCCTAAGCACCAGGCATCCAGGGGAGTCAGAGGATGAGAGGGTGAGACTTGGGGAAGAGAGGCCAGGGGGGAGTTGATGAGGTCTGAGCCAGGGCAGCGACAAGGGCAGCGGCCAGGTAGACGGGAGGAGGGATGCTGAGGAGAGAAGCTGAAGCAGCAGGATGGGTAGGACATGCTGCCTGGTGAGGGTGGGGGGTGGGGTTAAGGGGGCTGGGGGGAATGGTGGGCGAGGGAGTGGAAGGTGAAGGACAGCCCCAGGGTGCAGAGGCCTGCTGGCTGGGTGATGATACCTCAAACAGAGAGAGCAGTGGGCCAGGTGGGAAGAGCTGAGTGTCAGACAACTTGGGAGCTGAGACACTGGGGTCTCAGAGAGGAGATGTCTGGGGGGGAGGGGGAGTACGGGTAAGCAGGGTTACAGATTTGGGGTACAGGGACCCATCAGATGCCCATTTGGTGTCATGGAGGAGCAGGTTGGAGACAGTGAGCAGGAGTGGTGGGAACAGCCCTGAGGGCAGTGCCATTGAGTGTGAGAGGAAACCAAGAGATGAGATGAAGTCCTGGGAACCACCACCATGTCAGGATGGGGGGGAGGGGAGGAGCAGGAGCAACCTGAGAGATTAGAGGAACAGCGTGCATTCAGGAGGCATGTATTGAGCACCTACTACGTGCCAGGCACCGTTCCAGGCCCTGGGAACACAGAAGTGAACAAAACAGACGCGGTACCTGCCCTCTGGCAGCTCACAGACCAGAAGCAATGCTCTTAAGAACAGTGGTGGTAAGTGCTAAGAGGAAAACCAAACCAGGTGAAGGGGTAGAAGGAAGGTGACTATTGTACAGAGGACGGACAAGGAGGGCCTTTCCGAGGAGGTGGCATTGGAGGGTGGTCAGGGGTAAGACCTGTGGGTATCTGTGTGAGGGGGTGCTCCAGGAATTAAGGATATTTGCTCTGATGCTGAAGAGATGGGCGCCGTGGGGAGGGTTTGGGCAGAGGAGGGACAGGACCTGACTTAGGTTTGAGAAGGACCCCACTGCCTGCTGTGTGCAGACAGGACTGTGGGGCCAGGTGGAAACAGGGAGCCCGGGATGGAGGCTGTGAGGACCGTGTCGGTAGGAAGGAGGTGGAGATGGCTGTCCAAGGTGGGCCATGGAGGTGGGGAGAGTGGTTGGGGCAGCAGGCCTTGTAGAGGAGAGTTTGCTGATGGAGACAGCTTCTGGAAGGATGTGCTGGGCAGCAGTTCTAGGTTTGCCAGGAGGTCAAGTATGTTGGAGACTGAGCCATGGCCACTGGGTGTGGGAAGTGGGGTGTGGAGGCGGCCTTACGGGAGCGAGGAGGTGGGCACCGAGGCGGCAGAGGCAGAGCACGTGGCTTCTGAGAGCCGGGCCGGAAGTCAGAGGGGCCATGGGATGAAGAGGCTGCTTCCCCTCTTCTCTTTCTCTTCCTTCTGAAACAGGGAAGATGCCTGGATGCGATTAAACCTGAAGGGGGAGGACCAGCAGGGAGGGAGGAGTGGACGGAGACACAGGAAGGATGGCTGAGTTGAGGAGCTGAGGGGCTCACAGCCTGGAACGGAGCAGCGGCCTTGGGCCCCGGAGACAGGCTTGGGGACTGGAGGGTGCACGGGTGGACCTGCAGGTGTGGGGCGGGCTGCTGAGGGCATCTCTCTCCTGGGCCCTGTTTCTGTGGCAGGAGGCCCATGGTCTGGTGAGAGGACGGGTGGGGCTCAGGATGGAGGCCTCAGGAAGGGGAGGTTTGGAGTAACTTTATGGGACTGGGAGCAGGTGCCTGAAGACACAAATTTCAGGGCAGCACAGAGCCCCCACTGGGTTGGCTCCAGAGTGTGAAGCCAAGAGCTCCCTGGGGGGAAGGACCTGAGGGTGGGATGGTGGAGGCTGGAGGTGTTGCAGGACAGGTAGCGGAAGGGCAGATGGGCAGAGGATTGTGGGAAGATGCTGAGTGAGGGCAGAGGAGACGGATGGTCTGGGCAGGAGGGAAGCAGGTGGTTAAGTGCGCGTGTGCACGAAGGCCTGTGAAGGTGTGCATGGCGCATGTTGGCTACACGGATGCAGGGCAGCCTCTCCCTTGAGGATGGAGCCACCAGGGGTGTGCGAAAGGCAATCCTTTGGAAAACGGGGAAATACCAGAACGTCAGTTTTCGTGATTTCATACGTCATCGTTCTTAAAAGATTGTTTTGGTGATTTTTAGAGAAAGAAGAAGGAAGAGGAAGGGAGAGGGGCACATTGATGTGAATGAGACATTGATTGGCTGCCTCCTGCACAATCCCTCCTGGGAATTGAACCAGCAACCTTTTGGTGCATGGGACAGTGCCTAACCTACGGAAACACACTGGCCAGGGTCCTATGTCATCTTTTCAATGTGTATTTCCATTTGTGTCATACCTTGTACATATGACCTTCATGTGGGCAACGATCTAGTAAATATGCGCATGAGAGGGAGTGACCGTTGCTGCTGGGGCACATCATTGGGACAGTTTGGAAACCGCGGGCAAGAAGGGCCCTCTCCTGGGAGAGGCCCCTCGGGGAACATGCTTGTCTCCTTTGTGCGCACCGTAGTCTCTAAGCTGCTGTCTGCTGCTTAACACACTCACAAACTCCGGGAACCGGTTCACTCCTCTCCACTCCCTGCTATCGGACAGATGGTCTCTGGTGTCTGGTGCTGGGTCCTCCCGGGGTAACTCCTACGTAGGGGGCTGGCCAGGCCATCCGGGAACCTGCAGGATGCCTTACTGCCCCTACACCGGCCCCAGGGCCAAGCCTGCCTGGTTCACGTCAGTGTCTGACCTGGAGTGCGTGCTGCAAGAATGAGGGCTGGAGCTCCTAGCCGTGCTGGCCTCAGTCCATCAGCAGAGTCCAGCGGCTCCCTTTCCAGGATAGACCAGCATTGGGCTGTGGACACATGGCATCAGTGCCTGCTCCCAGCCCCTCCTGCTTCAGGCCTCCATGGCCTCTCGCCTGTGGCTGCAGCAGCCTCCTCCTCCGGCTCCAATCCTCCACTCTGTCCCTACGAACCATTCTGTTCAAACAGAACCAGGTGTGTCTTTTCCTGCTCAGAATCCTGCAATGGCTCCCAGGGTCCTTGGAGCAAGAGCCAGAGTCCTCCCAGAGGCCCCCAAGGCCCCACGTGGGCTGCCCTCCCCTTTCCTCCCCTCTCGGATCTTGTCCCTCACCCTTCATCCCCCTCCTCCTCTGCTCCAGACACCTTGGCCATCCTGCCGTTCCGGGCACCCGGCTGCATTCCCACTGCCCAGCCTTGGCGCTCCTGGTCTCTCCTCCAAGGTCCCTGCAGGGGCCACTCCTTCACTCCCCTTGTCCTCTGGGTCAAATGTTGCCTTCTCTTGGCTACTCTGACCTCAAATAGCCACCCCAGGTCACTTCCTGCCTTTCCCCTCTTCCATTTTGCATCACCCTCTGGCCGGGTAGATTTTTACTATCCATAACACTCTCTCTCTCTCTCTCTCTCTCTCTCGCTCTCTCTCTCTCTCTCCCTCCCTCTCTTTCTTTCTCTTAAATATATTCTATTGATTTTTTTTACAGAGAGGAAGGTTAGAAGGATAGAGAGTTAGAAACATCGATGAGAGAGAGACATCGATCAGCTGCCCCCTGCACACCCCCCACTGGGAATGTGCCCACAACCAAGGTACATGTTCCTAACTGGAATCAAACCCAGGACCTTTCAGTCCGAAGGCTGACACTCTACCCACTGAGCAAACCGGTCTCGGCTGTCCATCTCTTTATGCCTCTGTCCCCACCTCAGTCCAGAGGGGACATGCTGTTTATTTGCTGCTGAGTCCCCGGCACCTAGGAAGGGCCTGGCCCTCGGAGGCTTTTATGAGGCGAGTGAGTGATTGGCAGTGAGGGAGTCAGGTTTCCCTCTGGCCCTTCCCAGGCTCACTGTGTGGCCTTGGGCCAATCAATCCCTGCCCCTCTCTGGGCCTCATTATCTCAGCCCATGCAATTCAGAGACAAGGGTGCCACCAGCCTGGCCCTTGGTGCCCAGGGAGGGCCTCTGGGGTGGATGCTGCAGCTGCCAATTGCTGCCCACCCCCTCCGCCCCCTGCAGGCCCAGCCCGTACCTTCTGCAGCCGCTGCGTGTTGTTCTCCAGCATCTTCTCCAGGTGTTGCATCCGCTTGGTAGGCCAGGCCACCAGGTTCAGCGAGTCCCTCTGGAGGCTGTTGGAGCCCCGGAAGGTCCCAGTGTCCGGAGCGCAGGCCTCGGGCTCGGGCAGCAGGAAGGTGTAGCTGCACTGGCCGTGCTGGACGCGGTGCGCCAGGCGGCGCTCTCTCACCTCCTGCCCCCTCCGCTGGGCCATGGTCACGGTGGCCACGGCGAGGAGGAGGCCCCCCAGCAGCATGGCCGGCCAGGAGAGCATCCAGAGACACGGTGATGGCGAGGGGGGGAGGCCTGGCCGGAGCCCGCAGGCCCCACTCCGTGCCCGGGTGTCCCCGCGGTGGCCAGCAGCGGACAGGTCTGCCCCAGAACCGCTGCAGCGGCAGACCCCTGTTTGGCCAAGCTCCACCCAGACAGCTATTTATACTCGTTCCAGATGCCACAGCTGCTCAGCTCCTCCCACCGGCCTGCTCGCTCCCGGCTCTCCCTCACCTCTGTTCTTCCCCTTTCCCTTCCTTCCTCTCACAGGCCCTCCTGCTACCCCGCCTGTGCACTAGCCCTGCTGTGCGTGGGGCCTCAGAGGCCTTATTACCCCGTGGGGACCCACCTGGCTGGGAGAGCACAGGCAAGGAAACAGCCCACGGACGTGTGCACACACACACACGCACAGAGCCACACGCACACACCCCAAGGCCGCCTGCTGCAGAAAACCAACCCAACTATCTCTTCCTGTCTCTGTCTCTGTCTCTCTTCCCAGCCTCCTCCCACGAAGGCTGGGATCTCAGATTTCAGCACCCCATGCCTCCGCTCTCCCCCACCCCCAGCATGCTCCTGCTCCAGTTCCGTGTGAGCGTTTGGCACACACAGGGAATAACCCGGATAGATCAAAAGGAGGGCGGAGGGGTGAGGCTGGGGAGTGGGCAGCCAGTCCAACCTGTTTCAGAGACAGAGCGACCTTTCTTGGCCAGGAAGTGCATGCTTCACCACGAAGCTGCTCCCTCGGGGCCGAGCCAGGGACATGTGCCCTGAGGTGGCCCTGGCTCAGCTCCTGTGACAGCGTGGAGGAGAGGCTGTCCGTCCTGGGGCAGGCTGCTCTGCGGTGACTCTGAGGGAGGTGGAGGGCTGGGAGAAGAGCTTGGGAGGCAGCCCCGGAGTCAGAGGCGGCTGGCTCTCAGCCGCTCCCCAGCTGCCGGCCCTGAGACCTGGGTGGGCAGCGTCCCCTCCCTGGGCTTCCCTTTCCCCTCCTGCCAGCTGAGTAAACCCATCTCTTGCAGGAGGAAGGCCCGTGAGCCCCCAGCATGGGGCCTGAGGGGCTGTGGATGTACTTATCTGTCTACTGCTTCAAATCCTGGCTCCACGACTTACCACGACTTACCTTCAACTGTGGGCAAGTCTCTGTTCTCCCTCTTGACAAACTGAGTGAAATACCGCCCACATATCAGGGTGTGAAAATCAGCCAGTTAGAACAGTGCCGGCACCGGGTTAGTGGAAATGATTATTGTAAATTATTGTCAGGGTCATAGTTATTATCTATCTCCCCTCCCCCAGCCCACGGGAACGTTAACCCCACGAGGCCCAGGAGTTGGCGGACGTGGTTGCTGGGCAGGAGGTGCCCGGAGCCGGCCGGGGGCTCTCCTGGGTGGCTGCCTTCCGGCGTTCTCTGCCCTTTTTCCCAGAGTGAGGACAGATCCGGCGGTTGGGTATTGTTTTGTTCCCTTTGTTTTCCCAAATCCTGTTGGGATTTTGAACAGGGCAGCTGCTTGGGACAGTGGCGAGCTGGGGCCCATCCGGGGCACGGAGAACATTCCGCCAGGTGTGCCGACTGGCCGGGGCAGGAAAAGGAAAGGCAGCTGGGCATCAGGCACCTGCCTGCGCCGGCTTCCCGCCTGCTGAGAGCCCCGTTCTCACCTCCCCCTCAGGGTCAGAGGTCACACCGCCTGCGACCTGGCCAGGAAGAAGTGTGGTCACACAGGCTGGGGTTTATTACAGTGCCTGGTATGCACGAGTCCCGAGTAAAAGCCTTCCGTTAGGACTGAGTAGGTTGAGCTTCGCAGTGAGACCAGCGTTATTATCCACCCATTTTACAGAAGAGCACACGGAACTCTAGAGGAGAAGAGGGATTTGTCTCAGGTTACACGGCCCGGAGCGCTTGGTCGGAACTGAAGGAGGACAGGCCTGGCCACCAGGCTGTTCCAGAGCCTAACCCACTCTCCCAGGGCAGCGTGCAGCGTGCAGGGTGCAGGGTGCAGCGTGCAGCGTGCAGCACGCAGCATGCAGTGTGCAGTGTGCGGGGACAGCAGCCCCTCGTTCTCTGTCTCCTCACTGTGCTGTAGAGAGAGCATTAAACCCTGTGAGACAGCCACGTGATGATGGGAAGCCTCCGGCACAGGTGATGCATTTAATCTTCCTGATGGAGAGAATGAATGAATGTAATGTAAGTGCCTTCCTTGCATAGACTTAAACAGACACAGGCCCTAACGTTGCATGAGGGTCTCTCTTTACAAAAGAAGAAACAGAACTACCTATCCACAGAAGAAATGTCGATCGGATAAAAAGGAGAATTCTAGAAAGCCTGGGAAATGGCCTGCCAATCTCTGCACCTTCATTCCAGCACCCCTTCTGACCCCAGGGCCTTTGCATATGCTGCTTTCTCTTGTTCAGAGCACTCCCCCTTACCCACCTTTCACCAGCTTTCCATTACTGTGGCTGCCAATAAGTTACTCCAAAACTTAGTGGCTTAAGACCAAAGTAACCATTTATTGTTTCTCAGGGTTTCTGTAGATCAGGAATTGGTGAGCAGCTCAGCTGGACAGTCTGCTCGGGCCTCTCATGAGGTCGCAGGCTGAGCGAGGGTCATCTGTAAGCTTCTTCATCTCACCTGCCAGCCCCTGGGCGTCCCCCATCACCCTCCCGGTCCATGTTCTTCAGGGGTCTCCAGCATGGCGGCTTCAGGCAGCCACGCTTCTTCCATGGCTGCTCAGGGCTACAAAGGTGCCGTCCCCAGAGCCAGGTGGGCGTTAGATCGCCTTCTATGACCAGCCTTAGAAGTCACTCAGCGGAACTTCTACCGCCTTCCATTGGCCCGGGCCTCCCCAGGTCTGAGGCAGGGACGGAGACCCGCCTCCATGGAGGGCGTCATTGTCACAGGAAGCACGTGCTGGAGGGGTGGGGGTGGGGGGGCGCCGTGACCCTCTGGGAGGTGGTACCGGCAGGAGAAGCGCTTTGCATCTTTCACTGTTTTAGTTGGAATATTGCCGACACTTGCTCACACAGGCCCTGGGCCCTGTTCAAGCTTTAAAACAGCCCCCCCCCCCCCTCATCCCAAGTCTTTGCCCTTTGTTTGAACCCTTCTCAAGGTTAACTGCTTGTGTGGTGACTCATCTCTGTTTGTTTGTCCCCAGCATGGGATATGCAGTTTGTTCTCAGGAAATACCTGCCAGAAGAATGAATGAATGCATGTGTGAATGAATGAATGGATGGATGAATGCAGTGCTTGAGCCAGGCTCTCCCTGCCTGGAGATGGGGACCCGGAGGGATGCTGTGGAGTCACTATGGGCTACACCGGTGGTCGGCAAACTGTGGCTCGCGAGCTGTATGCGGCTTATTGGCCCCTTGAGTGTGGCTCTTCCACAGAATACCACATTCATGAGACTTCGTGGCCCATGCGCAGAAGTCGGTTTTTGGCGCTCAAAAGAAATTTCCATCGTTGTGCTGTTGATATTTGGCTCTAATGAGTTTGCTGACCACTGGCTACACTAACAGGGCAAGCCTGGCGGACACAGACCCGAGGGTGTCCGTTCTGGGCCCAGTTTCCTCGTCCTCCATTGGAGAGCGTGAATAGGCCCTATCCTCGCCCCCTGTCCTCCCCTCCCCACCAGATCGCACAGAGGTGAGCTGTAGAGAAAGTTCATAAATGGTCAAGCTGCCGAGGACCTTTAAACACAGGCCTCTCAGCCAGTGTCCGGGGGTTTGGGCATCAGTCCAGCCCGGAGAGGAGCTACGCAGGGGGACCTCCCCGCTCTCAGGGAAACAGGGACCAGCATGTGGCAAGGCAGCAGCAGGTATGAGGCGCTGGCGGCAGGGCCCAGAGAAGGAATGGGGAGACGCCATCTGGGTCAGGCGGCAAGTTCAGGGAGCCCACATGCCAGTGCCCAAAGGCAGCATCCAGCGGAGGCCCCGGAAGGGCCTTTGGCAGGCAGCGTGCTCTGTGGGGGAACTTATCCCGACCCCATTCCCAGCCCCACACCCAGAGCCATCTCTGTTTCCTGGACACAGCCCTCAGGGCCTGAGACCCAGCTCCCATCCTGCTCCCCTGCTGCGCCCCAAGCAAGCTTCTCCCGGCGCTTCCCGCGCTGGTCAGTGCACAGCCTTCCCTGGCACCTGCAGCAGGAACCTGGGGACATGGGACCCAAAGGGGCTGAGGGGAGGGGAGTCATGGGAGCCTGGGGGAGGGCGGCCAGAAAGGAATGGGTGCTGATGGGCATGAAACACCTGGCCCCCTGCGTCCCCATCCTGGCCCCGCACCCAGTGAACCAGCTCCCCACCCCGGCCCCAGGGAGCCTGGGCATGAGCAGGATGCCAAGGGCTCTCATCTCGCATTTAGCTGGTGAGGAAGCAGACCCCGAGGAGGAGGCAACAGACTGGAATCTGTGCTCCTGGAAGAACTGACCTTTCTGCTCCTGGGAGCACAGGCAGGGAAACTGGTCATTCCTGGCAAGTCGCTCGTTAATTGGGGGCTCCTCTGGTATTTGGGTCCAAAGAAGAGTTTGAAGCCACCCGACCCCTGGCCGCATCCCCAGAACCCAGCACGTCCCCACCCAGCTCCCTGCATCTCAACAGGGTGATGCGTGAGGGTTGCAAACCTGGCAGCTTAAAGCACACCAAAGCCTCTGGTCCTGTGCTGCTCACGTCCCTGCGACGTGCCCTGGGCATCTCTTAGGGCCACCGAGGGTGCTGTCCCGGCTCAAAGCCTTGGGGCTGCTGACAACCCCGGAGACATTTGTCAGTGTCCCCAAGACTCGAGGGATGAATCTGTGGAGCAGGAATCATTGGCCGACCCCTCCCCCCCTCCCCCAAGACAACAGTCTGTCAACTGTCCCACCTCTAATCTCCACCGCCCCAAAGCCAAGCCACAACAGAAGGGACACAAAGGTGAGTTTTGGGGTCACTCTGGTGACCCAGGACTAAAGATTAAGAGCCCCAGGCTTCTGGCACTGAATCTTGATTCCACTCTAGTGGGTTAGACTCGGTTTTCTTATGTATAAAACAGAGAGAACGGTATCTCACTAGCAAGGTGTGGGGGAGGTTCTTTCAGTCTATTTAACAAAGCACCCCAACACCTAGTGGTTTAAAACAATGGTGACACCTCTTTGGCCAGGTTCAGAGGGGACAGCTTGACCCTGCTCCATTTGGCGTCAGCTGGGGTCGCTTGAAGGCTAGTGCCCAGAGCCACCCAAGAGCTCATCCATTCACATAATCGGAGACCTGGGCTCAGGGGCTCAGCCAGAATGACTCCATGCAGCCTCTTCACGTGGCCAGGGCTTCCTCGCAGCATGGCGGCTGCCTTGCAAGGGTGAGCATCTCCTGGGACAGTGGCAACATCCCAAGGGCAAGCATCTGCAGAGTCAGGGAGAAAGGCATGGGACCTTTGGTGACCTAACCTCACGACTCCTGCAGGGCCAACTCTCATATTCTGCTCATACTCGTGGTCACAGAGTCCCACCCAAGTTCAGGGAGAGGAGGAACATATTGGTACTTCTGTCAAGGGAGACCAGTGAGGTCTCAGAAGA